ATCCCGGTCAGAGGCAGCTTCAGATATAAACACTGAACTTAAGAAGCATGTCAGATAATTATTTAATCGGCTCTGATTAACTTCCGATTCGATGTGCAAAATGTAGCATCCCTGCTAGCTCTGTAAACAAACAAGCCGGCTGATGAGACGTCACGTCTTTTACTGCGCATGCGTGTCACATCAGTGCTGTGTAGCGTTCACACATGGGTCTGATGCAGGTCACATTTAAAATGTAATGTGAACGTTCACACAAAAGATCAGATTTTTTCTAAAAATCGGAACTGAGCATTAAGACCTGCAGTGTGAACGTAGCCAAAGATGTGTGAGCACGACTTGATTGTAACTGAGGAATCTGTTTTTTTTTTTATCTTTACAAAACAAAATCATTGAAAGTCAAGTATTGTTTTAATGGACCGTAATCTGGGATGTTATTCAGATTTCTTTATAGCCTTTTATCTTTGTGGGGTTGTGTGTGTTTGTTATCCAGATTCAGGGTCAGAGAACACTGGAACGCAACAAACTGTTGAACTTCTGTGTTTTCATCTTTTTTCCAGGAACCGAGGAGAGCGGAGGATGAGTGCGTTTGAGTGCATACATCGGGTGTATAAAGCAGATGGCCTGCGAGGCTTCTACAGGGGAATGTCAGCTTCCTACGCTGGTATCTCAGAGACTGTGATCCACTTTGTTATCTATGAAAACATTAAGCGGCGTCTCTTGGAGGCCAAGGCGCCGCAGAACATGGACGATGAAGAGGATGCTTCAAAAGATGCCTCCGACTTTGTTGGAATGATGCTTGCTGCTGCCACATCCAAGACCTGTGCCACAATTATTGCTTATCCTCACGGTGAGAGCCTCCTGTCAGTTTTAGCTGTCCTTGTTCAGATATCCTTTTACGTAGACCTTTTCATTCGTCTCTTTTTCTTTATTTTTGCAGAGGTAATTCGCACCAGGCTACGAGAAGAAGGCTCCAAATACCGCTCTTTTTTTCAGACTCTAACAACTGTGCCCAAAGAAGAGGGCTACCGCGCCCTGTACCGGGGTCTAATTACACATCTGGCACGCCAGATCCCCAACACTGCTATCATGATGTGCACCTATGAGCTGGTGGTCTACCTCCTGAACGGTTAAAGTCTTCCTTTAATGTAGTCAGTTAGGACAACCCTGCCGATGCTGAGAGATAAAAAAAAGAAAACAGGATCTCCTGCACACCAGCACATCTAAAAATCTGTCAGAAAAGAACCAGAAAGCGCCAAAAATAAGAGTGGTTAAAACAAATTAAACCTTTAAGTTTTGTTTTATAAGCAAATAGTGTGGCACAAAGAGTAGTGTTGGACACGTTTTGCTATCTGGGTTTAGCTTTTGGCAAAGCAGCAGCCCCCCTGTTTTCATTTCTGGTTTAATCTTTGTCTCCCACTTTGAGTTATGTCAGATTCAGAGCACCTGACATCCAGTTTATTCTGCTTCTGTCGTAACTTGAAATAAATTAACCGTTTAAAACTTTTGAACACGTGTTTCACACAGTTAGTCGTGTTTTAGTTCTCTACCGGTTTACTTTACAAGTAGCACCCAGTATTTCCTGCATCCCTCAAGAGAAAGGATGACAGTCAGTAGCTGCTGGGCAACGCTGCAGTGGATCACAAATGTTCTGAAGTCAGAAAAATAAAAAAACAGGGTGACTTGAGGCCTGATGAGGCAGGGTAAACAGAAAAATAGGTTAGAGTAGGAGGTAACAGGTGATGTGCCTTGTGTGGAAATGTAACATAGACCAAGATGCAGGGTTCTGTTCGACCTTCGATTAGAAGCAGATTAAATGACGAGACGCACAAGTTTTTAACAAACACAGATGCACTCTTAGAAACGTTTTCAACATCTCGTTGGAATACAAGAGTCGAGATGTATTTATATCAAGTGTGTGTATATATAT